ACGAACCCTTTATTTTTGGTAGAAGGTGGTTTGGTTGCATTTTTAAAAGTTTGTTCATATTGAGGTGTGTGTGTGTGTGTGTGTGTGTGTGTGTGTGTGTGTGTGTGTATCTCGGGGGTAGGGGATGCCATGAAACTATCAGAAGTTTCTAGGAGGAGGAAGTAACATGGGACTGGTATAAAGGAGAGACATTAAACTCACTGCCGTCTAGTCAATTCCAGCTCAAAGTGAGCCTGAAGGACGGAGGACACTGCTTAGCCACCAGGCCCCTTCCTAAGATTGCCACCCGAACCCAACAACCCACTGCTGTGCAGTCCACGTCGAGCCATGGTGGCCTGAGTGTCTGATGCTGTCAGCCTTGAGCAGAGAGCCTCGTCTTTCTTCTGGCCAGTGACTGGCAATTTGAACCACCCACCGTGAGGTTAGCAGTGCACCGCTTACCTGACATTACCACCAGAGCACCGTAAAATCGATAAGAAAGGGCCAAACCTTTAAGAGCCGCCTACCCTAAAGCCGGAATCGAATTCTATCTGAAATGCAATGGGGATCCACTACAGATGAAACAGACAAGTCGGTAGTTTTATTCTCAAATTCAGATAATTCTTTATTTAAAAAAAAAGGTCACCACCCTTCAGTATCCCGGACTGGGACTCCGTGACTGTCGTCAGGGAAAGAACGGTTCACAACAAGGTTCCTTATCGGACAAAGGCAGTCAGGAACTTCTAACAGGATGAAGTCCAGCATCATTGGACTTAGTCAGGGGACCACCAGCAACGACAGCTGACTTTTTGAGACTGGAGTTGAGTTGAGTGGTCCTTTGAGGAGAAAGGACACGAAGGAGTCAGGAGCTGAGTGGGCGGCGGTCGTGGCTCCCAGATGCTTACTCTGGAAGGGTTCATGAGATGGTGATCAGAGGTCCAGGGGTCACGCCAAAGGCTTTTTCCTTATTTATAAGAAGAGAGCTGAGCAACTTCTAAGTTAAAGAGTCTACTAAGGAGATGAGAATCAGGAAGGGTGAGTGGCCATGAACCTCCTTTAAAGAGGCCTGTTTGGTGATGTGCTGGAGAACGTTACATTTAAAGTAACCTAGTCTTGCCTCTGAATGCTGTGAACCTGAGTAAATATCCACTTCAAATGTGCTGAATTAATGAGATAATTATGTCCCTCCTGAGAGTAGGAGTCCTGTGGCACTGTGGATTAGGCATTGGAGGGCTAAACAGAAGGTCAGAGGTTCAAATCCACCAGCTACACCAGTAAAGCTTCATAATCTTAAAAAACCCCTTTATGAGGCAGAATCGGCTTGATGCCACTGGGTTTGGTTCTGGTTATTTGAAATCATAAGAGAAGGGTGGCGACTAGGATACTTGTTTACTGTATGGTCAGAAAGCTAATCTTGGGGACTCCTGAAACCAATCACGTCCTTCATATGAAATCGAGGAGTTATGTTCATTTCTTAGGGCTCCCATACGAGTGAATACATACTGGACGCTCAAACAGCACAACTCCATTCTCACACAATCCAAATACAAATGCAAGGTGCCAGTGGGGTTTCCTTCTTCAGAGAGAATCTTTGTGGCCTCTGGTCACTGGCTGCACTCTTTGGTGTCCCTTAACTTGTAGACACATCACGTGACCTCAGCTGCTGCCTTCACATCCCTTCTTTGTCTCAAATCTCCCTCCACCTTTCTCTTACAAGGACACCTGTCATTGGATCCAAAGACCTGGTGGCACCGTAGTTAAAAATGCTTGGCCGCAAACTGAAAGGTTGGCAGATGCAGCAGCCTGCTTCCCTAAAGATGCGCAGCCTGAGAAACGCTGGGGGGCAGTTCTATTCTGTCCTGTGAAATAGCTGTGAGTTGGATTTGACTAGAGATTAGTGGGTTTAGTTCAGTTAAAAAATGAAAATAAAAACAAACTCGCCCCCATTGAGTTAATGTTGACCCATAGCCACCCCCTGTGCATTTCTGAGACTGTAACTGTTTATACAAGTCAAAAGTCAGTCTCTCTGCCCAGGAGCTGCTGATTGGTTTGAACAGCTGAACAAGCGGATCACAGTCCACATATACACTGTGCCACCAGGGCACGGTTTAGTTTGGGAACTTGGAATCAAAGCCCACCATAAATCCAAGGATGATCTCATGTCAAAATTCTCAACTACATCTAAACAGACCCTTTCCCCAAATAAGGGCATATGTATTCCTGGGTTCTAGGGATTAGCACATGAGCATGCATGTATCTTTGGAGGGCAATGGAGGCACTATTCAACATGTTGCAGGTGTGTAACAACATCTCTGTGCCCAAAATGATGGTTATTTTGCGATTCATCCACATAGTGGTGAGACTGCAGCATGAGGCCCGGGTTACAAATCTGACTTAGCAGCTGTGTAAGCAAAAGGTTGCACAAACCCTTACCTTCCTTATTAAACAAAGTTTTGATGGCTAGGCTAGATTTTTTATGCCAAAGTTCTCATACAGACGTCTTAGCTAAAAGTTCATTAAATGTTGCCAGGTTTCAAATGCTTAAGAAAACCTCTTTTACTCTGTTTTGGGGAATTGCAATGAAATCAATCCTATCCAGCCCCCTGCCTCTAAAGTTCAGCTAATGAAGACGAGGAACAAAGGACCACAAAGATCTCTATATGAGAATCTCAGGTATAGGCTTATTATGCTATAAAAGCTGGATTTGCCCAACATATGGGCAGCTGCCCCTCCCCCACAGAAGAACTTACTTCAGAGGACAGCACTGAAGCTGCAGCTCAGGGAGAGGGACACGTCTGATCAGAGCACACAGGAGCAAATGACGGGAGAGGAAGAGAGAGTGGAACACATCCTGGCCCACCAAGCCCTGAGGACGATATTCCTGCTCAGAGTAGCCAATGCACAGAGAGGACCATATGGTTGGCCCCACTATGAGACACGACGTCCCTCACTGACCCATAGTCCTACAGTCCTGATCTGACCCCACCACACCAAGGCGAAACACTAAGGGTGTGCAACAGAACAGCAAGGGAGCAGAGCAAGGAAGATCCGAGGGAGTGCCAAAAAGAGACTTTGGGACCAGGGTATGGCACCCCATCACACTCAACCGGAAAACACTCCTAAAGGCCAACAAACAGTCCTTAAACTATTTACAGGCTTTTCTTTTTGGTCATTTATTTGTTGTTGGTGGCGTTATTTTGTTACTTTGTTTTGCTGTGTCTTATTTTTAT